CATTTTTTTCTGCCGAAACCGGTTTGGCTCAGTGGATAGAGCGTCGGCCTGCGGACTGAAAGGTCCCAGGTTCGATTCCGGTCAAGGGCATGTACCTGGGTTGCAGGCACATCCCCAGTGGGAGATGTGCAGGAGGCAGCTGATCGGTGTTTCTTTCTCATTGATGTTTCTAACTCTCTATCTCTCTCCCTTCCTCTCTGTAAAAAATCAATAAAATATATTTAAAAAAAAAAAAAAAGATCATTTTTTTCTTTCTAAAAAGCACATCACACTTTACTGAAGGACTAACCAAAGCCACCTTTGGTTAGGAGAAAAGGTAATTTCAAAGTATTAGGAAAGAATTTTTTTTAATGTCTGTCTTTTTTTTAAAATATATTTTTATTGATTTTTTACAGAGAGGAAGGGGAAGGGATAGAGAGTTAAAAACATCTATCAGCTGCCTCCTGCATACCCCCCACTGGGGATGTGCTCAAAACCAAGGTACATGTCCTTGACTGGAATAGAACCTGGGACCCTTCAGTCTGCAGGTCGACGCTTTATCCACTGAGCCAAACCGGTTAGGGCAGGAAATAATTTTTAAGTATTTACTAAATATGAAAGGTATTCAAAATGGTCAACCTTTCACAGGGGTCTTCTCCTGTAAAGCCCTGGCACTTGGAAAGGAGAAAATAATAAACAGGGACAGTGACATCTGGCAGTTTACACTCAAACATACACTCTCGCACACATATCTACACACTCACACAGCCACACACTGTTGCTCAGTGGGAAAGTAGCTCTCTCACTGAGAATCATGTCATGCTATCAGCACAGGTCTTTGGAAGAAGGAAAATTTCTATTTTATATCTGGAACCTCAAGAATGTTCCCTGTTCCCTCCATCAGCGAGCGTTATGGAAGCCTGGAGGACTTTCCTTCCCATATTCCCCCCTTGCCTGTTAGCATCCCTGGATTTTTCTAGATACATAAGCCCCACTGGCAAATTCCACTGAGAGCCAAAGACACATGTGCCTTTTGGCACACACACCACCACCACCCCCCAAGGAGCATGTTCCTGAAAAGCTGCCTGTAAAATAATTTTTTGCAGGGTAATTATGATTCCCCACTGGCTTCCAATAAGATTTCTGAGCCAATCCCTCTTCAAGATTGATTTTCAATATACACCCAAGACTTTAGCTTTAAGTTCCTCTGCCCCCTGCCATCCTCTCTGACAGTTACTTAAACCTCATCTGAAAAGTGAAGAAATGATCAATGAAGCATTAAGATCTCTCCTAAGCCTTGGCCAGATAGTTCAGTTAGTTAGAACATCATCCAGATACGCCAAGGTTACGGATTCAATACCCTGTCAGGGCACGTACAAGAAGCAACCAATGAATGCATAAATAAGTGGAACAACAAAAAATTGATCTCTCTCTCTCTTAAATCAATAAATTAAGAGCTGCCTGGCCGGTGTGGCTCAGTGGTTGAGTGTTGACCTATGAACCAGGAGTTCATGGTTCCCTTGCCAGTCAGGACATAGGCCTGGATGGCAAGCTCAATCCCCAGTAGGGGGCGTGCAGGAGGCAGCCAATCAATGATTCTCTCTCATCATTAATATTTCTATCTCTCTCCCTCTCCCTTCCTTTCTGAAATCAATTTAAAAAAATTGCCCTAACTGGTTTGGCTCAGTGGATAGAGCGTCGGCCTGCAGACTGAAGGGTCCCAGGTTTGATTCCATTCAAGGGCATGTACCTTGGTTGCGGGCACATCCCCAGTGGGAGGTGTGCAGGAGGCAGCTATCAATGTTTCTCTCTCATTGATGTTTCTAACTCTCTATCTCTCTCCCTTCCTCTCTGTAAAAAAAAATAAAATATTTTTTTTAATTACAAAATTCTACAAAGTAATAAATTAAAAGCAAAAAAAATCTCTTCTAGTTCAAATAGTCCAGGGTCTGTAATCAAACCTGTAAATACATTGAAGAGGCTACTATTTGGAGGAGACATCAGGTACCACCATTTCAAATGCAAATACCCTACATCTAACTTTTGGGGAGGCTGTTTCCCAGGGCTCCAGGGATTTTTGCCCCACTCCCTTAGCGGGGAGCAGCCGCCTCAGATGACTGGCATCTTCGTTTTAGGAGGGTTGGTACTTTCCCTTCTGCTCTCTGCTCCCTCTACCCCACTCCCAGGTGTCAAATTCCAGAGACCCTCTCTACTGAAATAGAGATGGGCCCTGGGACTCTGAGGAATCCTGTATGCAATACAGCTGGTGGCCTAGGGTAGGAAGCACTTGCTAAGAAAAGATGAAATGAGTTGCTAGGGAGGCACTGTGGCTTTGGTCTCTGGCAAAAGAGTTAAGCAAGGGCACGTGCGTCATGGGTCTGTGGTACTGGTCAGACAACTGCCTTTGCAGTCTTTGAACCAGAGATATTATTAGTGCTGATAGCAAAGGGAAATGCCTGCTTAGTGGTGAGGAAAATTAATAGTCCAAGCATTCTTCCATCCTGCATTCTCCATGCTGGCATTTTGATTAAAAAAAATATTGCTGCAGCTGTTTGCATATTCTAGAAGTGTGTGTGTATGTGTGTGGTTTGGTGTTTACAGATTTGGGGTTGTGGAGGGGAGTTTCCAGAGCAACGGAAGTAACTGCTTGTCAGTCAGGGTGCATTTTGAAAATGAAACCCTGAAAGCTGGGGCCCGCTTTGGGCCTGGGCCTGGGCCTGGTCTCTGAGGAGTCAGCAAAGGCCAGGAGGTGGCTTTGGCCAGTCGGTTCAGTGAATGAACCACTGATCATTATTACTTTTTTTAATGAATTGACCAAATCTATGAGTTGCTTTCAGTGTCCTGCAGATTCAATCCAAGGCAGGAATGTGGGAGTGGGCATCAAGGTTCTGGCTGCTGATGCACCCTACCAACACACACACACACAATGCCCCCCCGCCACATATACACACAATCACATTTTCCCAGGTTGCCAAACCAGAAGAAGGTAACAAATATTTCTCACACACCTACTAGGTGCACAAGGATAGTATGACATAGTCATCAAAGAATTTAGAAGTATTTTTCTTTTAAGATTTCTTTTTTAGTATTTTTAATTTATTTTATAGAGGAGAGAGAGAGAGAGAGAGAGAGAGATTTGTTGTTTCACTTATTTATGCATTCATTGGTTGATTCTTGTATGTGCCCTGACTGGGGATCGAACCCGCAACCTTGGCGCATAGGGACGACGCTCTAACCAACTGAGCTTCCTGTCCAAGGACAAAGAGTTTAGAATTTAATTGGCATGTGAGAACAAGGGGAGAGAAATACAACATAAGGCAGTCTGTGCCAGATGCCACGGCAGTAATACAAACAGAGGATTGAGGGAGGGAGAGTGATCACTCTGGGCTGGGGTAGTCAGGCGGCTCACTGGAGAAGGTGGAAACTGAGGCCATCCTTGAAGGACAGGGAGAAGAACTTCACTATTCAGAAGCTGTGAGGGAGGACATTCTAGATAGAGGAGGGCAAGTTCAAGATGTACTCAGGCTAGGACAAGTCCATCCGTTTGGCTGAAACTTGGGGCTTGTGGGAGTGATTTGTAGCCAATAAGCCTGGCTTGGATACCGGTAGATCTGCACTAGAACAAAGGCTATGGTGTCACACAGACCTGCTCTGCCACTTCCTGCTGGGTGACCTTGGGCAAGTGGCCTAACCTCCCTGCAAACTGAGGATAATAATGATGCTTAGCTCTTGAGGCCATTGGGAAGACTAAAAGTTTTACATCTAGCACAGTGTCTGACACATAGTAAATGTTCAAAAATGGGTTACAGCCCTAGCTGGTTTGGCTTAGTCGATAGAGCATCAGCCTGGGGACTGAAAGGTCCAGGGTTAAATTCTGGTAAAGGGCATGTACCTCGGTTGCAGGCTCCTCCCCAATGTGTTTCTCTCACATCGATATTTCTCTCTGTCTTTCCCTCTCTCTTCCACTCTCTCTAAAAATCCATGGAAAAATATCCTTGGGTGAGGATTAAAAAAAAAAAGGGTTACAAATGCATAAGCTGTCATGAAGGAAAGCTCAAAATATTTAGGGCTGATTCCCAATATTTGAGGGTGAAGGAGGAAAAGCCTCTGATACTTTCCATCACTGTCATGCCCAGTGGTGTGAGCTCCCATCCCCTCTGGCCTACACTATTGGACCAGCCTCCTGACTTCCTGCCTCTGCTTCTCCCATAATCATTTTCCTAAATACCACCTTAATCATAGCTGTGTTCCTCTCTGGCTCAAGAACCTTCTATGGCTCCCAATTGCTCACTGACTGAACTCCCTAATAACATGGGGTGGGGGGACAGGAGGCAAGAGCTACCATTTATTGAGGGAAGGAAAGAGCAAAGAGGAGGCCAATGTTAGGTGTTCAAAGGTAAAATATCGTCATCTTTTAAAAGCCCCTAAGCTCTGAATTCACAGATCAGCAGGTCCCTGAGGGAGAGAGCAGGACACATCTCTGAAGAGGGCAGGGCGTTCCCCTAGCCTCTGAGGGTGGAGCAGGGACGGGGGTGGGTGGGACAGTGGAATACCCCTTCTCCATTCCGGGACAGTGTCTACCTGGGCCCCGGTCTCGAGTTTCTGCAGGAATCCCGCGTAGTTCTGGGCGCTGCGGGAAGGGTCTAGGCCGCACAAAGGGCAGAGCAGGCGAATCCGGGTCACATGGGGTAGCCAGGCAGCCTCCGTGAATGCTAGGCTCGGGACAAAGGAGGCTAGGGGACAAAGTACAGGGAGACTCTTGAGGAGATAAGAAGGACGGTCCAAGGAAGGGGGCGGGGAGCGAGCACCCAGGAGCCTTGGCTGGCAGCCGAGCTCAGCCCTCCGGGGAGAGGGCGCCCTCGAACCTCTTCCTCTCAGCAGCTGCTGGGATGCGGAGAACGACTGCTGGGGCAGTTGGGCTGCTCGGGGCGACTTTGGGGGCCGCTGGCAGCCCTCCCCCCGCGGGCCGGGAGGCGGGGCCTCCCAGCTCACCTGGCCATTTGGGGCGGGGCCGCCCGCAATCGGGAGGCGGAGGTGGCGGCGGTACCCAGTGCACGGGGCGACCCCTCCACACTCCCACGCCCGCGCGGGGGCCCTCCCTCGGCTCCTTCGTTCTCGCCCTCTCTCCCCCTCTCCCCTCCTTTCATTTGCTCCCTCCCTTCTTCCCTCGGAGCCCAATTGCTCAAGCCGCTTCCTTCCCCAGCGCCAGTTCCTCTCCTAGTGGGGCCCGGGAAGGGCTGCGAACGCTAGAAACGCGGAGCGCGGCGGAGGAGCTGCAGGACCATGGCCGAGCCCGAACAAGCCGCGACGCCGGCGCCCAGAGCCTCCCTGCCATGGAGCTCGCACAGCCTGCGGAGCTTCCCGCAGCCCCGCCCCTCGAGAGTGGACGCCGCCAGCCTCGGCAGGTACCGGGGCACAGCCACCGCCTCCCGGCAGGCCTCCTTGCATGGCTCGCTGACGCACTCCGGAGCGGGCTCGGGGCGCCGGCGGGGAATGCTGCGGGAGCTGTTGGGGCTGCAGGGGGCAGCTCCCCGCCGGGTGGCAGTCGGAGGGGCGCACGGAAGGAGCAGTCCCCCGGGCGGGCCGAACGGAGCGGGCAGCGGCAGGCTGTGCCTGGAGCCCCGGGAGCACGCGTGGATACTGGCGGGCCGCCGAGGGCCGCTTTGAGGCGCTGCGGGAGCTGCTGGAAAGCCGAGCCGGGGCTGCTCTACGGGGCGACCCGATCACCGGCTACACGGTGCTGCACTGGCTGGCCAAGCACGGGCGCCACGAGGAGCTCATCTTGGTGCACGAATTCGCCAAGCCGCCGGGGGCTGGAGCTCGACGTGAGCGTCCCGGGGAGCGGCGGCCTCACGCCCCTTCAACTGGCGGCTCTGCAGGGCCACTACCTGGTCATCAAGGTGCTGGTGGGCGCCTTGGGAGCTGACCCCACGCGCCGTGACCACAGCGGGCCACCGGGCCTGTTACTACCTGCGGCCCGACGCGCCCTGGGGCCTGCGGGAGCTGTCGGGGGCTGAGGACTGGGAGAAGGCGAGCGACAGTGAGCGGGACAACGCCAATAACAACAGCAGCGGCGGCGCCACCACCGCCACCGGGTGGACGCTGCGAAGGACTCTGAACTCACTGGGCGCGATGGCTACGGAGACAACGATGAGAGAGGTGGCGTTGCCCAGCAAGGAGAAGGACTCCGCAGGCAGCCGGGTGGCGCAAATTCAAGGTTTTTTTCGCCAGTTGTTCCCCTTCTTCCAGGACCGTTGAGGGCGACATAGAGGAGAGTGCAGAGGGACGCGCCACTGTGGCGAGGCCTCGATCCTCCCTTGTCCCAGATTCCACTGAAGGGGCTATGCGGCCGAGTGAGTGCGCTGGCCTGCAATGAGCAGACCACATCCGGTCTGTCTCAGGTACCTGTCACAAATCTCCTGCAGTCACTGGCCAGGAGACATGGAGACCAGGCGCCCTCTCACACCCCTCCCCCCACCCCAAGAGAGAGAGAGCAAAGACCAAGCTGTCCTGGAGCCCAGTCCCAAAAGGAGCTGGAGTTAGGGGCAGGATCGCGGTCCTGCTTGGGAGAGGGAAAGTTAAGCTTCCAGTAGCCATTTCTGATCTGGCAGAAGTTTTGGTTTATTGCTAGAAGAATGAGTTAAGACTGTAAACCACTGATGCAGAGTGAGCGCCTAACTGCAGGCTTGACTTGGCTACTAAGGGGTCACTTTGTGCTGCCAGAGTCAGCCCCTGGCTCCCTGTTCCTGAGACAACCAGACCTTACTGGTACTTTTTCAAATGTATCGCGGATGACTTCTTAAGCATATTAAAGTGGAATTGTTTTCCTTTCACATGACAAAGCTGTCCTTTGATTTTTTTTTTTTTCATTAACCACTGAGGTGGGGGAAGCTTCCTACATTTGCAGGGAAGAGGTCACCCACCCATGGCCAGGAGCTAGTGATCCAGGGCAGGCTCTGGGCCTCATTCTCAGAGCAAATGGCTGAGCTGTGCACTGAGGGAGCTACTTTCACCTTGACTCTGAGTCTATTGGGCTCTTGAGCATCTAGGTTTGGGGTCCGGCACAGTCTCCTCCTAGAGTTGTGTGTAGGGGAAAGAAGGGTAGTAAAAGGGGAAAGCCTCCAGAGGTACATTTCTGATAATTTGTGGTGAGTCATGTCATTTACCTGGACTTCTGGCCTCTAGTGAGACACACCCACTGGCACTTTTTTCTGAGATAGGGCTTTAATCATCATCATTTGCTTTTTTTTTTTTTTCTCCTCACCCGAAGATATGTTTCCATTGATTTTTAGGGAAAGTGGAAGAAAGGGTAAGACAGAAATATCGGTGAGAGAAACACATCAATTGGTTGCCTCCTGCACGAGCCCCAACCAGGGCTGAGGCCAGGGAGGAGACTGCAACCAAGTACGTGCCCTTGACTGGAATCAAATGTGGGACCCTTTGGTCCGCAGGCCAACGCTCTATCCACTGAGCCAAACTGGCTAGGCCTTAGCCGCTAGGGCATCATTTGCTTTTTTTAAATTACACTTAATATATAAGCTGTAGTTTGAAAAATTGTTCCCAAACAATTAAACTGAGTAGAATACAGCACAGTTAACTGGAACTGAGAGGGGAAAGCAGTTGGAGACTAGAGTTGTGTATAGGGGGAAGAAGGGTGGTAAAAGAAAAAAGCTTCTAAATATACATGCTGCCTTAGAGAATATTTTAAAAAATAGTGCTGCATTCCTGTAGCCCTTGCAATGGACTGGTGTGTCCGAAGCCCTCCCATCTCAGTCCTTAAACACAAGGGAGAAATTGAGTCACTACAGAATACAGAAACCACCCTGTGCCCATTCATCCAGATTTCCATCTCTGCCTGCCTAGTGGGCCTATTTGCCCTTTTTTACTACCCAGTCTGTGCCCCCAAACAATCCCACCTTCCCTTAAAAAACCCATTAGATTTTTCTCACCCATGAAATGATCCAAACCCTTCCTATTGGTGTTTTCAGCCTGTCCCAGGTCTCTAGGAATGGCACCTTAAACATATTTATTCCTGGCTTCTGGCATTTGGCATCAGCAGCTGGCATAACTCCCCTGTTTCTTTTGTGCCCATTTTTTTAAAGCATACTTTATTTTTTTAAAATATATTTCTTTATTTATTTCAAAGAGGAAGGGAGAGAGAGAGATGGAAACATCAATGATGAGAGAGGATCATTGATTGGCTGCCTCCTGCACGCCCCCCACTGGGGATCAAGCCCGCAACCCAGGCATGTGCCCCGGGCTAGAATCGAACCTGGGACCCTTCAGTCCGCAGGCTAATGCTCCATCCACTGAGCCAAGCCGGCTAGGGCTTTTGTGCCCATTTTATAGATACAAATTGGTTAACTGATGCAAGACTTTAGTTTCTGTTCCACCACCTCCCCCTTGACAACTGCCAAGGTGGGTTGGGCTTGGTGAAGGCTGCCAGGGCAGAGCCTTCCTGCCACATGGCTGAGTCTGCGGGTTCCTGGCTTAGAGGGAAGATTAGCATGTGCCTTTGCCCAACATTCAAAGGACACTTATATCAGTAGTCTCCTCCCCATAGGCTAAGTTTGAACCTAAACGTCTTAACTATTAGCAGATTTGGGGACCTGAGACCAGCATCCGCCTTGCTCTTTCCAAAATGAAAACCAAGTCAGCTAGAAGATGTGAAAGCGGCTTTCTATAGTTTTTCCTGTAGTCAGCTATTTTTCCCCACAGACTTTTCTCATCATGTGATATTGCCTAGCCTACCTCCTCCATGTAAAATTGAGGTTTGGCTGCAGGGGACGTACTCCCATTCTGAAAACTCTCCATGCCTAACATCAAGCCATTGGCATTTCTGGTATGCTTTTCGAGGCAAGACTGGTATGCTTACCCCAAGAGAAAGAATAAATTCCCTGAGAAACTTCTTTCCTGGGAAGCAAAACGGAGTTGAACAGATGATGCGAATCTGCATTCTAGTGGGGCTTGCAGAGGAAAAAGGAGACGGGAAGTAGGGCTGTGAGGTGTAAACATGGGGGGAAGGGTGCTGCTCAGAGGGCAGGGCCTTGGCCCAGGCTGAAAGGTGCTGGAAAGGCTTTCAGGGAAGAAGGTAATTCCTGATCTGAGGCATGGGTGAGTGGGAGATGGTCAGTGAAGGGGGAGGGGCCTCCTGGCAGAGCCAGTGGAGTGTGTAAGGGCCGGTACACCAAGTACCAGGAAATGTAGGTCAGCCTGTTTGGCAGGAAGGTGGGAGCTAGGGAGTAATTAATGGCAAAGCTGAAGAAGTGGGTGGGGGTCCAGATCGCTGAGGGTCTCATAGGTCACACTAAAAGAAGAACATTGGTTTTCACTTAAGGTACCTGGGAGCCATGGAAGGTTTCCAAGCAGAGGAGAAACATGAGGTTTTACCAAAATCACTCTGCCAGTCATGTTGAGGATGGATGTGCTAGATGATGGGGAAAATGAATCACACAAGCAGTGTTTCTGGAGAAAACCTTCAAGTAAAGTCATGCTTCAGCAGAGAAGTTCAAAGACCCCCATAGAGGTCAGTGGCTTTCAAATTTCTTTTTCTTCTCAATAGACTTTGATCTAATAAATCTTATTTCGAAGCCCCAGGTGTAAAACTGACAAATTGAGACTAGGCTGCTGAGCTCCCCACCCCCTGCCTCTGTCTTAGACAGAGGATAAGGGGCGTCCCTGGAGCAAAATTCAAAACCACTGGTGTAGGGAAAAGCTCTCAGCCTAACCTGGGTTCCATCCTGACTGCTAACTAGCGGCTTTGAGCAAATCACTTGTCTCTCTCAGTTGCAATTTTCTTATCAGCAAAATGGGAACAATACAATCTCCCTTGAGGTTTGCTCTGAGGATTGGAGGTAATTGCAAGGTCTAGTACCTGCAGGACACACAGGAAATAGGAAACAACAGCTATTGTTTGGCAGAATTGAAAGGTGCACAGCAGGCTTTTGTGGTGAAACTATTTTACCTGCGAGCCTAGTCCAGGAAAGATCTTGTGGTTACCTGTATCCCACCTCTAAAATGTGCCCGCATTGCTTGCAAGTTATTTCCTCCCTGTGCCAGTTGAGTGGCTTTTCCTCAAAGGAGATGTTGGTTCCTCTGCTGATGTTCTTCACAACCTACATTCTTTTACTTGAGGCACAATTGTAACAAGCTGCCTCACCTTGTTCTCTAGGCCCATAGAAGTAACAGCAGCAACTTAATAAGTGCCCATCAAATATTAAATAGGTTAGATATTGTTTCCAGATAAAATCATAAACTGGGCCCTAGCTGGTTTGGCTCAGTGGATAGAGCATCGGCCTGTGGACTAAAGGGTCCCAGGTTTGATTCTGGCCAAAGGTACATGCCCAGGTTGCAGGCTTGATCCTTAACAGGGGACATGCAGGAGGCAGCCGATTAATGATTCTCTCTCATCGATGTTTTACTCTCTCCCTCTCCCTTCCTCTCTGAAATCAATAAAAATGTATTTTTTTAAAAAATAATAGCCCTGGCTGGTTTGGCTCAGTGGATGGAGCGTCGGCCTGCAGACTCAGGGGTCCCGGGTTCGATCCTGGTCAAGGGCATGTGCCAGGGTTGTGGGCACGTCCCTAGGGGGGTGTGCGGGGGGGCGGCTGATCGATGTTTCTCTCTCATCGATGTTTCTAACTCTCTGTCCCTTTCCCTTCCTCTCTGTAAAAAATCAATAAAATATTTTTTTAAAAAGCTGAAGTCAGAGCTAAACCTGAAATCCTCTGAAGAGAATAAAAGTATACAAGTCCGTTATCTCCTGACCCTATAATCTGTGAAAATGCCTTCCTCCCATTCCAGCCAACATACCCTACATTCCACACTCAGCCTCCATGTCTTCTATTTCCGTTTATTTTAATGAAGGAGCATGCCTGTCTACTTTCAAGATGTAACTCATGCTGTCAACCCATCTCCTCCAAGGGCTTTATTCCCTCAATCCCTTTCCTGTATCTTCAAGCTCACCCTCAATTTAGTTCAGTGCAATAACATTTATTGAGTGACTAACATTTATTGAGGCTCTTTGGGTGAAAAACAGGCTCAAGTTTCCCCCAGCCTTCTGGCTTAATCTTATGACTCTCTTCTCTTCACAGCCAAGCCTCTCAAAGAGGTCTCCTCCCCTCTTTACTCACCTCTTTTTTTCTAATTCTTTTTTTATTGATTAATTTTAGGGAGAGAGAAACATTGACTTATTGTTCTACTTATTTATGCATTCATTGGTTGCTTCTTATAGGTGCCCTGACCAAGGATTGAACCCACAACCTTGGCCTATCGTGACAATGCTCTAACGAGCTGAGGTACCGGCTAAGGCTTTCCTCACCTCTTTTTTTAAAAATATATTTTATTGATTTTTTACAGAGAGGAAGGGAGAGGGATAGAGAGTTAGAAACATCGATGAGAGAGAAACATTGACCAGCTGCCTCCTGCACACCCCCTACTGGGGATGTGCCCACAACCAAGGTACATGCCCTTGACCAGATTCGAACCTGGGACTCTTCAGTCCACAGGCCGACACTCTAGCCACTGAACCAAACTGGTCAGGGTGTCCTCACCTCTTAATCGCTCCTCAACTCTATGCATTCTGGTTTTTGCCTCCATCATCCCAGTGCAATTGCTTCCTCAAAGGTTGCCTATGATGAACTTCCATCTGCCAAATGCAAGTCCTTATCTTAGTTCACTTCTTGGCCCCACTAGTCAATGTTGGTTACTTCTTCCTCCTTGAAACCCTCTTATCTAGTCTTCCATGGCCTCCTATAGCTCTAATTACTGGTGTTTATCAAGCTGAAGTCCAGAAACTTTTCTCTTCACTCTATATTCTCTCCCTAAGTCATTTCATCCCTTCTCTATTCACCCTTCCTCACTCTACTCCATCCACACAGTCAGTCCTTCTTGCTGTTCCTAAAAAGAGCCACGTTCTTCTGAACTCTGGGATCCCTCTCCAGAAACACTCTTCCCTCTATTCCTTGCCTCCCCCACCTCCTCCGCACCTGGTTCATTCCCCCTTATCCTTCAGATGTCAGTTTAAATGTCACCTCCTTAGGGAAGTCTTCCCTCCCCTCAGGCAAGGTTAGCACCACACCTGGTCTGCTCTTCAGTCTTTAACACACTTGAAATTATTCAAGCAGTTATTAGATTAATATCTCCCCTACCCCCACTAGACTTAACTTCCATAAGGACAGGGACCAAGTCTGTCTTATTCACCACAGTATCCTTAGTTCCTGGTAGATGGAAGGTGTTCAATTAATAGGTATTGACTGAAAATAGACTCATAGATTTTACCTCAAAAGCACAGAAACAAAGAGCTATGTCACTTGGCTAGGCTGTGACGTAGAATCTTGTTGATTCTACTAAGTCTTTCTTATCTTTCCCTCCACAGTCCCACTTGGGGACCACCCACACCTGTGAGGACCAGTATGCCCTTCCTGAAAGCCTGCCCTATTAATTCCCAATCTGCCTAGTCTGGCCTCATCATTGCAGAAGCCAATTCCTTGTAATAAATCACTTAATATATATATTTCTGCTGGCCCTGCCTCTCTGATTGAACCCTGACTCATACAAAAAGCAACCATGTTGCCCTAACACAGCGGTTCTCAACCTGTGGGTTGTGACCCCTTTGGGGGTCGAACGACCCTTTCACAGGGGTCGCCTAAGACCATCGGAAAACACATATATAATAACATATTGTTTTTGTGATTAATCACTATGCTTTAATTATGTTCAATTTGTAACAATGAAAATACATCCTGCATATCAGATATTTACATTACGATTCATAACAGTAGCAAAATTACAGTTATGAAGTAGCAACGAAAATAATTTTATGGTTGGGGGTCACCACAACATGAGGAACTGTATTAAAGGGTCGTGGCATTAGGAAGGTTGAGAACCACTGCCCTAACCGGTTTGGCTCAGTGGATAGAGCGTCGGCCTACGGACTGAAGGGTCCCAGGTTTGATTCCGGTCAAGGGCATGTACCTTGGTTGTGGGCACATCCCCAGTGGGGGGGTGTGCAGGAGGCAGCTGATCGATGTTTCTCTCTCATCGATATTTCTAACTCTCTATCCCTCTCCCTTCCTCTCTGTAAAAAATCAATAAAATAAATATTTTTTAAAAATCCATGAAAAAAAAGCAACCATATTATTCCAAGATGATAAGTTTGTGATCAGATTAAAGTTTATTCAGATGGAACACACCTAATAACATTCCTCAATAAAAGGAAACAAGATTGGCGGAGGACCGGAGGCAGAGTAGGAGCTCCAGCAGCTGGAAGGGACCATGGCCAACAGTGAGCGCACCTTCATTGCCATCAAGCCTGATGGGGTCCAGCGCCAGCTTGTGGGAGAGATCATCAAGCGTTTTGAGCAGAAGGGATTCCGCCTTGTTGCTATGAAATTCATGCAGGCTTTGGAAGACCTTCTCAAGGAACACTACATCGACCTGAAGGACCGCCCATTCTTTACGGGCCTGGTGAAATACATGCACTCAGGGCCAGTGGTTGCCATGGTCTGGGAGGGGCTGAATGTTGTGAAGACAGGCCGAGTGATGCTTGGGGAGACCAACCCAGCAGACTCCAAACCTGGGACCATCTGAGGGGACTTTTGTATCCAAGTTGGAGGAACATTATCCATGGCAGTGACTCCGTGGAGAGTGCGGAGAAGGAGATTGGCTTGTGGTTTCGGCCCGAGGAACTGGTAGATTACAAGAGCTGTGCTCAGAACTGGATCTACGAGCGACGTCGAGCGACGTGAAAGCCACCCACAGTGCTTTCCCCACTCCATTTCCTCCCCCTCCCACGGCAGGGGACCAGACTGTAGCTGATCTACTTATCTCTGAGAACTTCCTTCTAATCCGGAGGGACACTCTTGGAGCTGTGAGTGTTCCCTGTACAGTGTTATATGCTACCGTCAGATTAAAATGTTTCACCCTAAAAAAAAAAAAAAAGGAAACAAGATTCCTTGGAGAATGGCTGGTTCTAGGGCTAGAGAAGTAATAAATTATAACAGAAAGTATAAATAAATATCCATAAGTCCATTTTGATATAAAGAAATGATAGAATAAACAAATAAATAAATAGAGAAGCAGAAAAATTCCCAAGCAGAAAATTTCCAAATAATTTATGGAGATACTCCTCTGTTAAAGAGGGGAGTGTAACTCCCCACTCCTTAAAGAGAGCTACATGACTTGGGGTGGTGAACATACAATATACAGATGATGAATTCTAGAATTGTATACTTGAAACCTATATAATTTTATTAACCAATGTCACCCAATAAATTCAATGTGTGTGTTTTTTTAAGAGAGCTACACATTGTAACTTCCCTCCAAATAGTACAGTTGGGAAGGGAGAAGAATGAGTAACTTTACAGTGGAGAAACCTGACCAACACTACTAGAGCCAGGTGAACAAGGCCAATATCAAATCATGTTGATCATATGTACCCTTGATATGATCTGATAAGAATGGCACTTTACCTCTGTGATCTTCCTTCCTAAAACTTATAACCTCAGTCTCATCATGAGAAAAACATCAAACAAAATCCAATAGAGGGGCACCCTACAAAATATTTAACCAGTACCCCCTCAAAATTGTCAAGGTCGTCAAAAACAAGGACAGTCTGAGACACTATCAGTCAAGAGGAGCCTAAGGAGGCCCTGGCTGGTGTGGCTCAGTTGGTTGAGCGTCCTCCCATGCACCAAAAGGTCGCTGGTTTGATCCCCAGTAAATAAATACATTTATTTTTTATGGATTGATTGATTGATTTGAGAGAGAAGGGAGGGAAGGAAGGAAGAAGGGAAATTTGTTGTTTCACTTATTTATTTTTGGCTGATACTTATATGTGCCCTGATTGGGGATCAAACCCACAACCTTGGCATATCGGGGATGATGCTCTAACCAACTAAGCTACTTGGCCAGGGCGATTTCCCCATTTTATAGTCCAGGAAACTGAGACTCAGGGAGTGTAAGTGACTTGCCCAAGGTCTCACAGCTGGAAGGTGATAAAATCAAATGTTCCAAGCCAGACAGTCTGACTCCAGAGTCTGAACTCTTAACTCCTTCACTCTGCTCTATAAGACAAATCCCTGGTCTTGTTCTGACTCATCCCTTCCCAACCCTAGGGAGCTTTGATCCACTGACTATTTGAATGTGCCTGTCTTCCTACCTGTCCCTCTTTTTCTCTGTACTTCATGTCATTATGCAAACAATCTGTCACTCCCAGATCAAAATAAAACCCCTCCCTTCACCCCACAGCTACCTCCAGTTCTCTCCTGACTTGCATATCCACAACCCAACTGTTTATTGGACATCTCCACCTGGAAGTCTCACAGCCATCTCAAACTAAATACAACTGACCCTTGAACAATGAGGAGGTTAGGGGCACCTACCCCTACACAGCTGAAAATCCGCGTATCACTTTTGATTCTCCAAAAATTTAACCACTAAGAGCCTGCTGTTGACTGGAAGCCTTACCAATAATATAAACAATTGATTGATACATATTTTGTACATTGTATGCATTATCCTATATAATAAAAGGCTAATATGCAAATCTACCCAACAGCGAACAACCGGTCGCTATGATGCACACTGACCACCAGGGGGCAGACGCTCAATGCCTTTGGCAGTGCTAAGGAGCAGTGAGCAGGTGGGTGGTAAGGACTGAGGGGTCCCGGACTGCGAGAGGGCACAGACCAGGCTGAGGGACACCCCCCCCCACCCGTGCACAAAATTTTGTGCACCAGGCCTCTAGTATATTATATTCTTACAATGAAGTAAGCTAGAGAAAAGAAAGTTTTATTAAGAAAATCAAAAGGAGCCCTGGCCAGTGTGGCTCAGTTGGTTGAGCAACATCCCATGCAACAATAGGTCCTTGGTTTGATATCCTGGTCAGGGCACATGCTCCAGCTGCAGGCTCAATCCCCGGTAGGAGGCGTGCAGGAAGCAACCAATCTCTCCCCCCCTTTCCTCTCTCACTAAAATAAAAAAAAAATTAAAAAAGAAAATCATAAGAGAAAATACACCTATAGTATTTTTTAAAATATCTGCAAATAAATGGACCCCCCAGCTGGCCACATGCCTGGGTTTCGGGCTTGATCCCCAGTGTGGGGTGTGCAGGAGGCAGCTGATCAATGATTCTCTCTCATCATTGATGTTTCTCTCTCCCCCTCTCCCTCTCTGAAATCAATAAAATAAAATTTAAAAAAACAAATGGACCCCCACAGTTCAAACCCATTTTGTTCAATAGTTACTTGCACATCCAAAACTGAAACCTTGATCCTTCCACCCTCCCACCAGAAAACTATTCTTCTCATGATCTTTCCCTCTCAGTAGGTTACACCACTGTCCACACTGTTGCTCAAGCCAGAAACTTGGGCATCATCTTTGCAAACTCCTTCTTTCTCCTCCCCTACTCAGTTGATTCTACTAAGTCTTTATCTGTCCATTTCAATCCATCTCCACTGCCTCTACCCTAGTTCCAGTCACCATCATTTCTCACCTGGACTACAAACCACAGCCTCTTACTAGTCGCTACTTCTAGCATACCATGCCCCACCCCCAACCAGCCCGATCTCAGCAATACTCTGCTAACCTCAGTGATTTCTTATACCCAAACTGGAGAGGCTACTATCCAATTCCAAACCCTTCAATGTTTCCCTGGGTCTCAGGGTAGAATCCAAGCAAGCTTCCTCTCAAGGCTTAAAGGCTCCCTATGATCTGGCCCCAACTTGTCTCTCCAGCCTCATCTTCTCCACCCCCCTTACTGGTTTCCTCTAGGCAGTTTCTCCCACCACCCTATATGTTCCCTTTCTACACTGCCAACTCACAGAGTGGCTTTCAGTTCCCTAAGTCTCCCAGCTTTCTCTTTACTGGGCTTTTTTGCAGTCCACTTCCTCTGTATAGGATATGACGTATGCCATATTCCAACCCCCGCCAGACCTAATTCCTCTTCAGCCTCAGGGCTCAGCCTGCTCCTCCCCCCCACCCTGCCCGTTGCATGCTCAGAGCAGGTTCCCAAGGACCTATGCCATCCTTACCACAGCACTCAACACTAGGGGTGCAACTGTCTGCACACTCGCCTGCCCACTGTAGACTGTAAGCCTGTGAAGATGAGAGCTCACTGCTGTAGCCCAGCACTCCTGCACTGTGTCTGCCCTGTAATCTATAATGGGTGTTTGTGGAATAAACAAGTGCAAGTTGGAGGTAGCTGACCTTGAATTTATATCCACAGGTCAGGCTTTCTGATTAAACTAATAGTTATTGTTTTGTGGCTCATTCACCTTCTGTTCCCATGTCCTCCTCCCATTGGTGAGCCCTGTGAAACACTTTTTCTAATGAATACCATATCAGACACACATTTAGAGAATTATAAATGGGCCATTAGAGGTTCATGATTTTAGAAGCAACTTCCGCATTTCAAATGGAAGAAAACTGAAGTCCCAAAAGCTGAAGTGGTTTGTTAGTGGCAGGCTCACTGCATCCAGAAATATGTAAGTTCAGAATACTTCCCTTGGGCCCTATAAATACTTCTCTCTCATTGTGCTTATAATACTGTATGATAATGGTCTATGTGTAAAACTGGGACTCAGCCTCAGATTTCTTCATTCCAGTACTCTTTCTCCTCTTATACCATGCTGTGACACATTAAAGATGACCATGAATTCTTTGATACTTTTCCCAATGAAAAGTATCTATATCCCCATCCCTTGAATACAGGTGGGTTCTGTAACTGCTTACTTAGATCAATACAATACAGCAAAAGATATATATATATATTTGGCAGCCCAAGCTGAAAATGAGAGATCCCTTCTAAAAATTTATTAAGAATTTCAAGATGGCCTTAACCGGTTTGGCTCAGCAGATAGAGCGTCGGCCTGCGGAGTCAAAGGTCCCAGGTTCGATTCTAGTCAAGGGCATGTACCTTGGTTGCGGGCACATCCCCAGTGGGGAGTGTGCAGGAGGCAGCTGATCGGTGTTTCTCTCTCATCGATGTTTCTAAACTCTCTATCCCTCTCCCTTCCTCTCTGTAAAAAATCAATAAAATATATTTAAAAAAAAGAATTTCAAGATGGCAGTGCTCACATCGGCAGCACATGTACTAAAATTAAAACAATACAAAGCCCGGGCTCAGTTTGTTTCCCAGTCTGGGCACATGCCCAGGTTGTGGTTTCAATCCCCAGTAGGGGGCAGCCGATCGATTTTTCTCTCTGACATGGATGTTTTTCTCTCTCCCTCTCCCTCTCCCTTGCTGTCTCTCTAAAATCAATGAAAAACATATTTTAAAAAAAGATACAGAGAAAATTAGCATAGCCCTGGCACAAGAATGTCATACAACTTCGTGAAGTATTCTACATTTTTAGGCCATGAAAATGTAGTGTACAGCACAGGGAATATATTCCATGCTATTGGAATAATTTGCACAATGATAGATGATTATTAAACTCGGTGATGGCTCTAACAGGTTTGGCTCAGTGGATAGAGTGTCGGCCTGTGGACTCAAGGGTCCCAGGTTCGATTCCAGTAAAGGGCATGTACCTTGGTTGTGGGCACATCCCCAGTGGGAGGTGTGCAGGAGGCAGCCGATTGATGTTTCTCTCTCATCGATGTTTCTCTCTATCCCTCTCCCTTCCTCTCTGTAAAAAATCAATTAAAAAAAAAACTCATGGGAGGCAACCAGTCAGTGTTTCTCACATCAATGTCTCTCTCTCTCTTCCTCCCTCCCTCCTTTCCTCTCTCTCTCAAATAAATAAAA